CACATGGCAGGTACAGCTAGTGTATCTTTAAAATTAGATTACAGGATCCCTTGCAATGTTTAACATAACCCACCTCCCCAATTTTTTTTAAAAAAACAGGATGGATTTCTGGTACTTCTGCTCATCCTATCCAGCCCCAAGGGTTTCTGGCCCAGACTGCCATCAGTTGCCATTCCTCTTCTATCAAAACATGGCAAAGAAAGTAAAAGAATAGTCCACTTAGTCCTTGACCATTGCCATAACGTACCTGGAGAGAATGCGGAAGGCCCATTGGAGGTTTCAGACATCTCGAAGCAGTATCTCAGTGAGAGCCCTAGTGTCTACAACTCCTCAACAAGCAGCCAACATGAGGCTTGCAGAAAGGAACAAACCCCTGGGGTTGGTTCCTCATCTGCTCCTGCTGGGTCAGGTGCAAATGAGGACTGTCTCTTCTGGCCCTTCCGTTTTGGTTTTCTAGGCTCATAACCTGCTTCGCTCATGTTACAGAAGAGACAGAAGCAACACTGTCCTGGGCATTTAAGCCTCTGTCCAACTGGTGTCATCTATCCATGAGAAATCAAGACTTTTTGCAAATTACCTAAACCACACAAGGTGTTATTCACCACAAGCCCAATGAGAGGGTTTCTGCAACTGAGTTTCTTGGATTTAGACAGAAGGAAGGTTTCATACAAAAGAGACACTAATTTTGCACAGTAGAGAGCTGAGACCAAAAGGGACAGAAACACAACAAGGTTTGTTGTCATAACGAGACCACAGCTAAGATTTCAGCATTCAAAGGCGATCTGTTAACAAAAGGATGTTGTGGAACAGTTCACAATATCTTTTTATTTCTAGTTCACCAAAGAAATGACCAATTTTTAAAGGGAAAACGAGGAGGAAAGAGAACCAACCACTTCCTTTTTAGAAGCTGTATCTGAAAGTCTTTTGTAGTTAGGTATGAAACCTGAAGAATACATGATTTAGAAGAAGAGTCTTATCAGATCTAGGTTTCATCAAGATTGTACTTGTTCTAGGAAGTGTCTAGTCCTTGTTATTCTTGCATAGGGTATTGGGGAAATTAACATGAAACCTGATAATTACATAAGGACAACTGATATAAGATCAAGGTGTTTTTCAATAGTTTATAGAAGTTCAGAAGGAGGGTAGAAAGAGGAGAGAACAGTGGTTTCATTTCTGCTGGATGCCTCAGGACATCTTGTGCAAAAACAATGTATTTACTGTCACCAATTGAGCATCCTTATCTAGAAATCCAAAATTGGAAAGACATAAAATCCAAAACTCTTTCCATGGATGCCTGAGAAAGTGACAGCTTTGCTATCTGATGCTTCAATATGCACAAACTTTGTTTTGTGCACAACATTATTTTTTAAATTGTGCATAAAATCATCTTCAGTCATAAATGAATTCCATATTTAGACTTGGATCCTGTCTCCAAGATGTAAAGGTTATGTAAAGGTTTCCTCTTGACATTAAGTCCGGTCGTGTCTGACTCTGGGGGTTGGTGCTCATCTCCATTTCTAAGCCGAAGAGCCGGCGTTGTCTGTAGACACCTCTGAGGTCATGTGTCCAGCTGTTATCTTCCCACTGGAGCGGTAACTACTTATCTACTTACATCTGCATGTTTTTTAACTACTAGGTTAGCAGAAGCTGGGGAAGCTCACCCCGCTCCCTGGATTTGAACCAGCAACCTTTCCGTTAGTAAGTTCAGCAGCTGAGCAGTTTAACCTGCTACATCACCAAGGACATCTGTCTCATTATGTACCTATATGCAAATGCACATATGCCAGAATCTGAAAAAAATGCCCAAAACTTCTGGTCTCAAGCATTTTGTATATGGGAGACTCAATCTGCATTACAAATATTACATGTAATGTATATGTAATGCAGTATAAATAATATATTTATATTCCATTCATCTCCCTTTTCAGTGGGGTGCCATCTCCTATCAGACAAGAGGCCCTCGAATTTCTATATCCGCACACCATCACCTTCCTGCTCCCAATGATCAGAATAGATATGCAAGTTACTGTTGTAATATTACTCACTTTTCTTGATCTCTTCAAGTTTTTCAGTGTATTTGGTCATACTGCTACCTACGAAAGAAAACACACATAGGAGGAATGCATCCCTCTCTATAGAAGAGGGACAATAACTTCAAAGAACAGAGGGTGAAATCTGAACACTTGCCAAGATGTTATGTCTAGCAGTTAATTCAAAGTTAATTCTGTGCTCATTATTGCTACTGTAGATTAGAATGTCTAGGGCAAAAACCTTAGTCCATAATAATAATAATAATAATAATAATAATAATAATAATAATAACAACAACAATTTTATTTATACCCCGTCACCATCTCCCCAAGGGACTTGGAGCGGCTTACATGAGGCCAAGCCCAACAACACATCAAAAACAACAAGCAATAAACAAAATAAACAATACAATTACAATACAATGCCACCCAGCGGTAGCTCCAAGAATTTTGAAGTATAAATTTCATTTTCATAGTACTCTTTTTCCACTGCCAGGTGGGAGGAATCTTCCTGCTTGCCTCATGTTACTCCAAAAACAACTTTTATTAAGTAGGTACATCTGGGCTGATGATGGCTAGCAGGTAATTAGCGCAAAGCCATTCCATTAATTTAAAGGCTGAGCTTCTGAGGGTGCATCCACACTGCAAAATTAGTGCACTTTACACCACTGCCATGGTTCAATGCTATGGAATCATGAGAGTTTGATGAGGCACCAGAATTTTATTGGCAGAGAAGATTAAAGACCTCTAAAACTACAACTCTTGTGATTCCATAGCACTGAATCACAGCAGTGAAATTTGTCTCAAACTGCATTAATTCTACAATGCAAATGTACCCTTAGCTGCTTTTCGACTCCATGTAATTCCTTTTTTAAAATGAAAAATAATAGCTTTAAGAGAGTGACACTGTTATTCTTAAAAACCCACAAAATAAGATCCAAACATAGCAAGAAAAGTCTGGAAAGTATTTAAAACAATGGGCACAAGGACATGTTTTGCATGCTGATTGCTGGGCACACATCTTTCTTAGAAGGTCTCCGTTAACAGAACTGGGAAAGGACATTCTTTGTCTGAATCTTTGGAAACCTTCATCCAGCCAGGACAGAAAATACGAGGCCAGAAGTGCCACTAATTTGACTCAATAAGACCCAGTTTCATTTGATAAAGAACTGAGAAAAATCAATTTCAGGACCACAGAACTGCCTAGTCAGCCATTTGGGTGGAGGATCTGGGGAGCTGTCATCACCAGGCTCTGTATTTTGTTGACATAGTTAAGTGTACCAACTGTAGAGGAAGAAAAGGGGCCAAGCAAAGTAACCAAGGGAATGTGAAAACAGCAAACACAAGAACTCTATGAATAATTTCCAAGTTCTTACTTTCTGCAAAGCTAAAAATTGGGGGACTGGCTTTTTAAATTTGTGTGAATAGAAATCTTATTTAACAGGAAATTCTTCATTTTGCTTCCTATACATAGTTACCGTATATACTCGAGTATAAGACTAGTTTTTCAGCCCCCTTTTTAGGCTGAAAAAGCTCCCCTCAGCTTATCCTCGAGTCAAGGTTATTTATTATTTTACACTGTTATTAGTATTATTTTTATTAAATTTATTATTTTATTTTATTTTATTTATTATTATTATTATTACATTTACACTATTTTACTCTATTATTATTACCTTTATTATTTTACTTTATCATTATTATTGGTATTACATTTACATTATTTTACTCTATTATTATTATTACATTTATTATTTTACTCTATTTATTATTACATTTATTATTTTACTCTATTATTGTTATTATTATTATATTTCCACTATTTTACTCTATTATTATTATTTTTATTATTACATTTCCATTATTTTACTCTATTATTATTGGATGGATACGTCAGCACATTTACACTGAAGGTTAGAATGATCGTTTAATGAGAGTTGGGTAGTCTTATCTTAAATTACAGTTTTATGTAAATATTCAAAAACATTTAACCTACTGATGCCTCAATTAATGTAATTTTTTTGGTATCTATTTTTATTTTGAAATTTACTAGTAGCTGCATTTCCCACTCTTGGCTTATACTCGAGTCAATACATTTTCCCAGGTTTTTGTGGTAAATTTAGATGCCTCAGCTTATATCTGGGTCGGCTTATACTCAATTATATATGGTAATTTCCTATTTAAGTGCTCCAATTTAATTATAAGGACTGGGACAAATCTTCTCCATTCCAGTCTTGCACATATGTCTGCACAAGTTACCAGCACATGTGGCCAAGCAGAAATGTAGCAATAATAATAATAATAATAATAATAATAATAATAATAATAATAATAATATATTTCTAGACCCAAAGGGACTCAGGGTGGAGTAAAAGTAATATAAAGAATATTAATAAATGATTGCATTTATGATCTCCAGCAACTGTTTTTCACAGGTCAACAGAAAAGCAAATATATTGAGATGCCTTTTCTATTAATCTAATATTACTCCTAATATCAGTCACTAGTAGTCTGTGGCTTAATTCACAATGGAGATTAAGTCATTAATGGTCATTGTCACCTCATGGCTTGACATCACAAACCACACCAGGTCTGGATCTGGGCACAAAACCCTATTTATGGAAAATCCACTGTACGTGAGTGGCCAGATTTGGGGACTTACAGCTCATGGCTTGTCTAGGTTTTGTTACAGAATAGGATGGTTTAAACCATTTTCGTCTGTTGAAATTTGTTTTGTTGTCCATACTCCAGCTCACCTATAAATGTTTTAATAAATAAATTTAATATCTAAGCTGTGTACTTTGCTAAGATTTAAAGCCTTAGATTGAAATATTCCCCTCCCAGAACAAAGAAAGCGAAGCTCACTTACCTGTGTCAAGGCGAGTTTTTACATGCTGGTATTTAGGATTCTGTGGGATCCTTTTGGTCAAAAGCTGGTTTCAAAAAAGAGAGAGAAAAATAAAAATAAAACCCTTCATTACACCTTGAAAATATGCCAGGCATAGAGTGGAGAACTAGCATCCCACCCAATTATTGCTCACCATTGCAGAATCCAAAAATGAAGACACAGCAAGGTTGGAGAAGCATGATTCCTTAACACTGTATACCAGTGCCTATACAGGCTGAGTCTCCCTTTTCTAAAAATGTGTGAGTCCAGAAGTATTTTGTCCCCCTGCCCTTCAGATTTTGGAATGCTTATATTTGTATGAACATAATTAGCTATCTTCCAGGTGGCAAAAAAAAAAATTAAACACAGAATTCACCTATGTTCCATATACACTTTATACACATTGCACAATCTTTTAAATAGTGTTATGCATAAAACAAAGTTTGCATGTACTGAACCATGAGACAGTAAAGGTGTCACTATCACTCCAAAAACATGTGGAAAGCAATACAATTCCTACCTCTTATCTAGATACATCTTGTTAAAAAAAACAAAATCATGACAACAGAGTTCACATTTCCCCATTGAAACAAGGGTTCTGCTTGTCTAATCCAAAAGTGGATTGTGTGAGACAGGCATAATTTTTGCAATTTCACCATTCCTTTTTTGAGATGAAACATGAGTTGATCAGCCTGCTTTGATATCAGGCTCAAAAGATAGAAACTGTGGTTTGACTATGATGGGCCTGGGAGGTCAGACGTGGCATCCAAGCCTATGTACAATAAATACATGAATGTGATTTTAATAATTAAGGCATGCATGTCAGACTACCCCCTTTTTAATGCAGTTAAAACAATCCAAAAACTGGAGAAATTTGAGGCTGGGGTCCTTCCTCCTCCTATCCTGAAGGTAAGACAGTTAAAAAAACAACAACAACAACAAACCAACTCTAAAATGCCATCGAATCTAAAGCATGCACACTGTTCAATGCCCCTTCAACAGGGAAAATGCATCTTAAGAAATTAATACAGTAGTTTTTTTACTACGCCTTTTTAAATGCTTCTGGTGCTCATTATAATTTGTTGTTGTTGTTCATTTGTTCAGTCATTTCTGACTCCTCGTGACCTCAAGGACCAGCCCACGCCAGAGCTCCCTGTCGGCCGTCACCACCCCCAGCTCCTTCAAGGTCAATCCAGTCACTTCAAGGATGTCATACATCCATCTTGCCCTTGGTTGGCCCTCATCCTTTTTCCTTCCATTTTCCCCATTGTTTTCTCTAGGCTTTGCTGTCTCCTCATGATGTGGCCAAAGGACTTCCTCTTGGCCTCTACTATCCTTCCCTCCAATGAGCAGTCGGGCTTTATTTCCTGAACTATGGACTGGTTGGATCTTCTTGTAGTCAAGAACTTTCCTCCAGCACCACAGTTCAAAAGCATATCTCTTCTTTTTTTTATATTTTGATTATGGTACATAACAGAAAAGCAACCCATGGCAAATCAGATATAATCAGGTACCAAAATTTTTGACGTGTACATGCCTCTCTACCTTATTCAATCAAACAGTTAATTTTGACGTTAAGTACAAATTATTATCATTTACATATCTTAATACACATAAACTTGCTATTTCTAGCTGTTTTCCAGTGCTTTCAGTCAGAGCTTAGTATTAAATTTTTTCATAACATTCAGGAAATCAGCACATGGCATTTTACACACAAACCCCAGACCGCATTTTACACACAAACCCCAGACCTTACACTCAACCCAAAACCCCTATCCTAAACAAACTAAACCCTCATCCCCACACCTGTGCACCCTTCACCATGACTTCCCGCACCGAAACACTATGAAGCCTTTAAGCCTATTTATCTATCCTTATTCATGGTAAACCTAAATTCCTAATGGAGCTCCTCTATATTACTGACTCTCTATTCAGATATGCCATGGCCAAAAAAAAAAAAAAAAAGCATATCTCTTCCTTTGCTCAGCCTTCCTTATGGTCCAGCTCTCACATCCGTAAGTTACTACAGGGAATACCATTGCTTTAACTATGCGGATCTTTGTTGCCAGTCTGATGTCTCTACTCTTTACTATTTTATCGAGATTGGACATTGCTCTCCTCCCAAGAAGGAAGCATCTCCTGATTTCCTGACTGCAGTCTGCGTCTGCACTCTGTGTCTGCAGTAATCTTTGCACCTAGAAATACAAAGTCTGTCACGGCCTCCACATTTTCTCCCTCTATTTCCCAGTTGTCAAACATTCTTGTTGCCATAATCTTGGGTTTTTTTTTTATGTTTCACTGCAACCCAGCTTTGGCGCTTTCTTTTTTAACCTTGATTAGAAGGCTCCTCAGCTCCTCCTCGCTTTCGGCCATCAGAGTAGTGTCATCTGCATATCTAAAGTTGTTAATGTTTCTTCCAGCAATTTTCACCCCAGCCTTGCATTCGTCAAGCCCCGCACATCGCATGATGTGTTCTGCATACAAGTTGAATAGGTTGGGTGAGAGGATACAACCCTGCCGTACGCCTTTCCCAATCTTGAACCAGTCTGTTGTTCCGTGGTCAGTTCTTACTGTTCCTACTTGGTCCTTATACAGATTCCTCAGGAGAGAGACATGATACCTTGGTCTCCCCATATATACCACCAACAACTTGCCACAATTTATTATGATCCACACAGTCAAAGGCTTTAGAACAGTCAATAAAACAGAAATAGATGTTTTTCTGAAACTCCCTGCCTCTCTCCATTATCCAGCATCCGGATATTGGCAATTTGGTCTCTCGTTCCTCTGCCTTTTCTAAACCCAGTTTGAGCATCTGGCAACTCTTGCTCCATTTGGTGGAGCAAGACTTGCTGGAGTCTTCCTTGCAGCCACAAAATACACAGCCACAAAAACAAAACAAAAACAAAAAAACCCAAAAAATAAAAAACCGAAACGGTTGTCACCAACAGACACAAAATGACTACTGTAACCAAGATGTTTTTCTGCATTGGTCAGCAAAGGTAATGTAGGGGAGCAAAGTAAGACAGGAGTTCTTCTCTTGCTTGCTTTATTCCCTTTGCACATAAAAAGAGAGTAAGTCTAGAAATGTCCATGTCTTAACCCACCATATATATTTCCTTTAATAAAAGAGATAGAAGCTCTTCATAATACTGATATTAACCGGAAGAATTCTGGGAAGAGGAACAGGAATGTTCATCTAAAAAACAAGACCCATTTCTCTTCACTATGGTTACAGTCATGGCATGTTGGCACCCATTTGGCAAGCCCGCAACTCTCTTCATATTTACCAGATGATTTCCAAACTGATCAGAAGCTTTGTGACCGGATTCTATGGCATGCATCAGTAAACAGAGTCTTTGATAAACAGCCTTTCAATTACACAGACAATTTAACTATGTACTTCAGAGTCACACAGGCCAGCTTAGCATACACATCAGCTGGCAGAAAACTGTTAGTACACAGCAATATGTTTCATGCTGGTTTTGAATGTGGGCTCCAAATGCAAAACAGTTCTTCACAATTTTGGACACCATCAACATTTTACCTGAGGCAGACTCTAAGGGCCCTTCCACACAGCCCTATATCCAGGAATATCAAGGTAGAAAATCCCACATTATTTGAGTGTGGACTCAGATAACCCAGTTCAAAGCAGATATTGAGGGATTTTCTGCCTTGATGTCCTGGGATATAGGGATGTGGAAGGGCCCTAAGCAGAAATGTGAGTCTGGGTTCGTTTAATTCAATGGTTCACAATCTCTGGGCCTCCAGGTATTTTGGACTTCAACTCCCAGAAATCCCAGCCATCTTACCAGCTGTTAGGAACTGTGGGAGCTAAAGTCCAAAATACCTGGAAGTCCAAAGGTTGGGAACCACTGATTTGTTTGCAAAACCACATATTATTTTCTCTACAGCCTGGAAGTTGAAGACACAACATCTTCCTATACATACATTATCTAATTTACAAACTGAGACCAGCCTTGAGGAGAGGTAGGTATCAAGCAGATGGCAATGATGATATGACAATATTCAATGGGCATCAAATAAGCCATGAGGAAATTCTGGAATGGGTCTCTACTATTTCAGTCTAATGCAGAAAACCAGAAAATTGCAATCAATCTGTATCAATTAGCGTAGTCTATGGAGCCCCCAGTGGCGCAATGGGTTAAACCATTGTGCCAGCAGGACTGAAGACCAACAGGTCAGTGGTCCTAATCCGGGGAGAGTGGGTTGAGCTCCCTCTGCCAGCTCCAGCACCTCATGCTGGGACATGAGTGAAGCCTCCCACAAGGATGGTAAAACTTCAAACATTCTGGCATCCCCTGGGCAACGTCCTTGCAGACAGCTAATCCTCTCACACCAGAAGCAACTTGCGGTTTCTGAAGTCACTCCTGACACAAAAAAAGTGCAGTCTACATCAGTCTTCCTTAATGTGATGACCTCCAGGTGTGTTGGATTATAATTAACATCACTGCATGTCATGGGAATTGTATTCCAACACTTCTGGAGAAAATCAGCTTTGTTTACACTGGTTTGCAGCAGTCTGCCAGGATTTTACACACTTAGCTTTTCTATTAAGAAAATCTCAATATGATGGATAGTACTGAACCTAGCAGCCCAGTTACAACTTACCACCCAGTTAAGGGCACTGTAACAGCATAGCAATGGCAGCAGATGCTTAGGTATATATAGCTGCAATTTTGGAAGTCGCTACTAAAATGTTTGTCATCTCAATCCTGACCTCCACAATTAAGAGATTCATGAAGCTGGATGTCAAGTCCAATCAAGCTTCCCCTATTGCAGAAAGCCAGTCCTAAGGATCCCTGATAACTGATCATCTAGCCTTTGATTTAAAATCTCATGTGAGCTTGCCATCAAAATACCAATCATAGATCACACTGCACACCCACCAACTAACTAACTCATGGAGTGTTTGACCTGGAAACTATGAAGAGCAGTGAGAAAATCTGGGTTGGGCAAGACCACAGAATAATACAATGTGAAGGGATGCATAAACATTCAAGCTTGGAGATCCGCATTATTGTTGTTTATTCATTTCTTTTCTTCCTTACCCCTACACCACTGGAGAAATTACACTGTTTAGCCAGTATTGCACCACCTGACATCCACCAGGAAGTAGCAGCCAATAGTGAAAGGACCAAGGCAGTGACATCTCCAGCTCATCCTCTGTTTGGGTATCAGCCAGCACGTCAATGACTTAAATCAAGAAATAGTTTTCTAAGATCTACAGAGACACTCGCTGGAACACCTCAGCAAGCGAGAGTCCAAAAGTGGCAGGCTCAAACCCAGAACCTCAATCAATGCTGATACCAAATGAGAGACTCCCCCCTGGGCACATAGAGGACTGGGCGACTTGGAAGGTGCTGAACAGACTGCGCTCTGGCACCACGAGATGCAGAGCCAACCTTCAGAAATGGGGCCACAAAGTGGAATCCACGACATGCGAGGGTGGAGAAGAGCAAACCACTGACCACCTGCTGCAATGCACCCTGAGCCCTGCCACATGCACAATGGAGGACCTCCTTGCAGCAACACCAGAGGCACTCCAAGTGGCCAGCTTCTGGTCAAAGGACATTTAATAGCATGCAAGCTTGAAAACTTTGTGCTTTGTTTGTTTGTTAAAAAACACAATACAACTGTTTGGTTTGCTCCTGACACGATAAATAAATAAATACATTCTTTACCCCACAAAACTTAAAACAGTAACTTAAAAAATGTAAATGAAGACAGGTAAAAGCCCTGACAAAGTCAAAAGGAAACAAATATAAAATGATATTCTTAAAATGCAATAAAATTATCCATGGAAACAAAACAATTTAAAGCAAACTCATTAAAATAAAAACGAGAAATGAACAAGCAGCACAAGCTTGAAGACTATTCCTAAACGCCGCTTGGAACAGAAAAGCTTTCTCTTGCTCTCTTACAAAGGGAAACAGGCCATACTAGTCTCCCGAGAGAGTGAGTTCTAATGTCCAATTGAGAAGGCAAAATCCTTTATACGCACAGGACCAATCTGGCTATTAACACTCCAGCAGACATCACCAAGGGATCTAGTTGACAACAGAGCTTTCGGAATTTGGAATTAGCAAGAACTTCAATGGGAACGGAAAAAGTCCTGCTGGGATGGAAGAGTGAATGCCAGGGCCTGGTTTAAAAGACAACCATTATTTAAAAGACTCAAAGGCTGGCAGTGGCGGAAGAAGTAATACTGTAACTGCAGAAGTTTAGCTAAGGAGATGCATCCAGGAATCCCAGGAGGAGGATGTGATGGTAATATCTCTCACCTGCTAGTTACCTTCAATATAGAGTCAGGACACAACACTGTCTTGAAACATGGAGGATCCATATCATCATGTGCATTAATATCAATTTAGAGGTCTCTGGAAATAACTATTTCAAAACCTCATAGCTCCCTAACCAGTGTCCCTAACTTGTTAGGACAATCTGGAAATCGTAGTTACCTAACTTTTCAAAGAAATAGTCTTGTTACTCCACAGAAGCAGGGAAGGGTCTGTATCAACATACACATCTCTTTTAAAGGTCTGTGTGCTGCTAATTCTACCCAACAAGTGTTTTAATTCTATTCGTATTCCTTTAGAATCACTCCATCAGTGAAGCTATGGAATTGGACTGCTTTCCAAAATGGCTCGTGCTAAAATATACATCAATTAATCTGAAAGTTACAAATGGTGGCTTAAAATACATTTATTTATTTTATTTATTTCCTATATTTATACCCCGCTCTTCTTCCCCCGAAGGGGGACTCAGGGCGGCCTAACAAAAGCATCATACGATGCTAGCATCGTAAAAAGAACCACAACCGTGTTTGCAATAGTGGTGGGATCAAGAGCAGGGTCTCTCCTGAAGATCTTAAACTTCATGGTGGTTCGTGGCAGGAAATACGTTCGGAAAATTTCCAATGAATGAATGAAAATACTGGGAGCCAAATCCAAAATTAACGGAAAAAAGAGAATTATAGAGAGTCAAAAACGAGAAAACTCAGGTAGGCATTATTGCACTGGATACATACAAAGCCTTTGCCTCAGTGGGTTGGACAATGTTGAAATCCCTGATTTAAAAAATACGGTTTTGGAGAGGGTTTCCAACATATAATAAAATAAATACACTCAGAAAACAGGGCTAAAGTCATAATTAATTTCTGTTAGGTAAAACTAATTATTTGCATGTATACATCCTAAAAAAGAATGGATCTCAGTGATTCATTGAGATGGAAAAATATGTAGTATTAGTTTCTATGTAAAAAGAAAGACAAATTTAGAATTATATTTTTTTTTAAAGGAGAAGACAGAGTTAGTATTTGTTGTTCATTCGTTTAGTCGCTTCTGATTCTTCGTGACCACATGGAGCAGCCCACACCAGAGCTCCCTGTTGGCCATCACCACCCCAAGAGTTAGTATACTAACAAAGTAACATCTCACTGCTGTTTATTGAATTCCATCAGGGGGAGGGGGACTGGAAATCATCTATCGGACAGATAGTAAGCTATTTAACCTCAGCAGACAGAAAGCCAAAACCAAGGTCACAACAACATCTGTTATAGAACTTCAATATGCCAATGATAACGTAGTCTATGCATATTCAGATGAAGACCTACAAGCCACTCTAAACACCTTTGCAGAAGCATACGAGAAGCTTGGCCTCTCATTGAGAAAACCAACGTGTTCTTCCAGCAGTCACCAACCAATCCCCCTGCAATGCCAGAAATACGGCTTAATGGTGCAACATTAGAAAATGCCGACCATTTCCGCTACCTTGGCAGCCACCTCTCCACCAAAGTCAACACTGATAACACTGCCTGAGCTCTGCAAGTGAAGCATTCTTCTGAATGAAGCAGAGAGTGTTTGAGGACCAGGACGTCTGTAGAGAGACTAAGGCGCTTGTTTATAAACCCATTGTCCTCCCAACACTGTTATATGCCTGTGAAACATGGACTGTGTACAGATGTCACATGTAACTCCTAGAACGATTCCATCAGCGTTACTTCCAAAAAATCCTGCAAATCTCTTGGGAAGATAGGCAGACAAATGTCAGCGTGCTAGAAAAAGCAGACCACCAGCACTGAAGCTGCCAATACACTACCAATTCCATTGGAATCTTACGCTACCAATTCCATTGGACTAGCCATGTTGTCCGAATGTTCAAAGATCATCATCTCCCAATGCAGTTACTCAACTCCCAATTCAAGAATAGAAAACAGAATGTTGGAGGACAGGAAAAGAGATTTAAAGATGGGCTCAAAGCCAACCTTAAAAATTGTGGCATAGACATAAGAGAACTGGGAAGCTCTGGCCCATGAGCACTCTAGCTAGAGGTCAGCTATGACCAACAGTGCTGCAGAATTGGAAGAGGCCCGAATGGAGGACGAAAGGGTTAAACATGCCAAGAGGAAGGTGTGTCCCGGTCGGGGTTGGCTTGACGTGCCTTCCTCTTGGCACGTTTCTCTCTTTCGCCCTCCATTTGTGCCTCTTCAAATTCTACAGCACTGCTGGTCACAGATGACCTCCAGCTGGAGCACTCAAGGGCCAGGATTTCCCAGTTCTCGGTGTCTATGCCAGAGCCCATCTTTAAATCTCTTTTCCTGTCCACCAACATTCCGTTTTCCATTCTTGAGTTCGGAGGAGAGCAAATGATTTGGGAGAAGGTGATTGGGCAATTGGACAACGTGGCTGGTGCAGCAGAATTGAAGGCGGAGGACCATTGCTTCAGTGTTGGTGGTCTTTGCTTTTTCCACCATGCTGACATTTGTCTGCGTGTCTTCCCAAGAGATTTGCATGATTTTTCGGAGGCAACGCTAATGGAGTCAACAAGTTAAACATGAGCCAACAATGTGATGTGGCAGCAAAAAAAGCCAATGGGATTTTGGCCTGCATCAAGAGGGGCATAGTGTCCAGATCTAGGGAAGTAATGCTCCCCGTGCTCTATTCCGCTTTGGTTAGACCACACCTGGAATATTGTGTCCAGTTCTGGGCACCACAATTCAAGAGAGATAGTGACAAGCTGGAATGTGTCCAGAGGAGGGCGACTAAAATGATCAAGGGTCTGGAGAACAAGCCCTATGAGGAGCGGCTTAAGGAGCTGGGCATGTTTAGCCTGAAGAAGAGAAGGCTGAGAGGAGATAGTTCCGGCCCAAGATGCCTATCCGAGAGATCCAAGGGTCATCCAGTCAGCAGTGGAACTCTCTGCCCCGGAGTGTGGTGGAGGCTCCTTCTTTGGAAGCTTTTAAACAGAGGCTGGATGGCCATCTGTCAGGGGTGATTTGAATGCAATATTCCTGCTTCTCGGCAGAATGGGGTTGGACTGGATGGCCCAGGAGGTCTCTTCCAACTCTTGGATTCTATGATTCTATGAAACAGGGAGGAGGGAGCAAGCTTGTTTTCTGCTTCCCTGGAGACTAGGATGCAATGGAATAATGGCTTCAAACTACAAGAGAGGAGATTCCATCTGAACATGAGGAAGAACTTCCTGACTGTGAGAGCCGTTCAGCAGTGGAACTCTCTGCCCCGGAGTGTGGTGGAGGCTCCTTCTTTGGAAGCTTTTAAACAGAGGCTGGATGGCCATCTGTCAGGGGTGCTTTGAATGCAATATTCCTGCTTCTTGGCAGAATGGGGTTGGACTGGATGGCCCAGGAGGTCTCTTCCAATTCTATGATTCCATGACCAATGAAAGAGTCCCTAAGCTTTGATTCCACACCGTTTGCCTTCTAGCTGTTTTGGACTCCAACTCCCAGAATTCCTTGCCATTAGCTGATACAGCAAGAGCTTCTGGGAGTTGAAGTCCCAAACCCCTGGATGGCCAAATCTCCCTCCTTTAAGCTTGAAAGATGAACCCAATTGCCTCATTGTTGGCTATGAAGGCGTGGAGAAGCAGAAGGAATAGATTATTAATGGTATTATCATTATTTAGCAGGCTGTATTGACTCAAGGCCTCACCTCAGGGTCTCCGATGCGCCTCCTCGCCGACATCCTGCCCAACTGACAGCCTCTCAGCCTCTCTGCGCGTCTCCACCAATCAGAGCATCCCTAGCCCACACCGCCGTCGCCATTGGTCGCCCTATCTGCGCGCCTCCACCAATCAGAGCCGCCCTAGCCTGGTCAGGCGTCCTTATTGGTCGCCCTCTCAGCCAAGCCGCTTCCGCGCGCGCTCTCTCCCTCTTAAAAAGAACTGAGCCGGACCTACTGCGCCTGCGCACTCCGCTTTCTCCCTTTCATGAGCGGGGCGTGTCACTGGTTGCCCGGGGCAACGCGGGACGCCTCCGCTTAGCGGTCAAGCCAAGGCTTTGAAGCGACGGTTGTGACGTCAAGGCATTGTGCGCATGCGTTAGCATTGTTGTCCTTGCGCGGCCTGGTCAATAAAATAGTCCCTGGCTTGGTTTTTTTATTTACATTTAAAAGACATCTCAATTTAAATATATTATTATTATTATTATTATTATTATTATTATTATTATTTACATTTAAAGTTATTTTAATCTAAACGTATTTATATTAATTATTATTTATTTGCATTTTTAAATGGTTTAAATTGTATTTATATTATTTATTTATTAATTATTTAAATGTAATAAAAAGTAATAAATATAAATACAATTTAAACCATTTTAAAATGGTTTAAATTGTATTTATATTATTATTTATTTGCCCATTAAAATGGTTTAAATTGTATTTATATTATTATTTAT